GTGTGTGTGTGTGTGTGTGTGTGTGTGTGTGTGTGTGTGTGTGTGTGTACGCGCGCGTGCATGGGGGGATGCCTGCAATGCCTGAACACACACACACACACACACCCCCAGCCCTACCCACACGCCAATGACAGCGAACTTGGGCAGTGATGCCCAGATGGAGGGGCACCCCCCGTTCAATGCACCCAGATCTGGGTACGTGGCGCGTGCACCCACACGCAGACTGACACATATGCCCCTTGAGACGACAGGTTCTCACGCGTGTTTATGAAACACACCTACGTGCCAATCGGCACACAAGCTCCTTGGGGGAGCAGGGGCACTCATACTGGATCAGGGCACATGCACCCCCCCACTGACTGCCCTGCACCCCTCAGGAGCACAGGCATTCATGCACGATCCCAGCAAACACAGGGCACGTTGTGCCAGGGGGCAGGTGCGGATCCAGCTCCAGGAACACGTGATTTCTGCCTACAAAAGCCCTTTTGGGGGGGTTTGAAAAGCTCTTTCTGGGGCAGGGAGCCCGAGAGGGGCACGGAAAGAGATGGGCTGAGCCAGGAAGAGGGGAAGGATGGAAGAAGGGAATGAACCAGGAAGGGAAAGAGGAGTACACGAGAGGGAAGGAGAGAGGCAGATGGAGAGAGCAGAGACCTTGTGTGGGGAAGAGGCAGGGAGCTGTTGCTGAAAAGCTGCAGGGCTGCGAGGTGCAATTAAAAGTGTGGCTCGTTATGTATTAATAGCAGCTTTGTTGGTAAATGAGAAGGGGGGGGCAGCCTCCACCTGCTGCCCAATGACTCCTTGGGGGTGGCGGCCGCTGCCCTTGGCGACCTCAACGCCACAGGCCTGGCCCGAGACCCTTCAAGGCATCTCCAGGCCGGTGTGCGCTGCCCAGGCCCCCCAGCAGTACTTACCACCATGCCGTTGATGGAGACCCAGCAGTTGCTGGGGAAGTCCTGCAGCATGGGCACCAGGAACTGGAGGCAGCCGTCCCAGTGGCACAGCAGCAGCATCATGCCGATGAGGTTGATGATGCGCATCACGGCGCTCGCCAGGTCATAGGTCATGTGGAAGATCTGCGGGGGGGGGAGCCCATTTTAAACCCCAGCCTCCGGCCCCTCCTGGCTCCCACAGGGCAACCGGGGCTTGGCATCCCCCTGCTGCTCCCCCACCTTGCCCCTGACACATGGCTGCACTGGGCCTCAAGCCCCGGGCCTGGACCCAGAGCTCTAGGGTCACCCTTTGGTGACTCCCTCATCCCTCCCCATGCCCCACAGCCACCCCAGACCCCCATGTACAAGGGGGTGTTGCTCCCCCTGACACCCCCCCATACACACATGCACCCCCTGGCCAGCACCGGCAGCAGGGAGCAGACACACAACACCCCGTGTGCTGTGCACAGACCGTCCTGGGTCCCGGCTCTCTCTTCTGCACCCACCAGGCCCCTTCTCCTGACCCCCGCCACCCGTGACGCTAATGACCCCATGCCACGTGGTGCCAGGCAGTGGCCGCAGATCCCAAATCCCAAGCCAGACTCCAGCCCCAGCTGGCTCAGCTCCTCCCTCCCCGCTTGGCCGGAGGGGAGAGGGGCTTTTCTTGCTGGCCACAGTCAAGCCAAGCGCAATGAAGGACGCCCCTCATCCCTCCCTTTCATGCAGTCAAGGCAGCCAGGCTCAGCTCAGCGCTGGCACGACGGGTCCCAGCTGGGCCGCGCGGGGGAAGAGAGGTGGCCGGTGGCAGCAAACTGTCCCCTGGGAAACGGCCCCCGGTTCCAGCAGCTGTTTTCCATGTGAAATGCTTGGAGGAGGGAGAGGTCACAGCAACCAGGACCCCTGGGCTCGAGCCTGGTCAGATCCCAGGGGCACGTGCATTCAAGGGGGCTAAGTCAGAGCCCACCACGTCCTGCCTCATTGGGGGTGGGGGAGGCATCCGCACCGATTTCTCGTCTGTGCCAAGCGCAGGTTCTCTCCCAGCTCCGCAAACCTGCCCAGCAAGCCCACGGCCACAGCAGGGCTGGACGCGTAAGCCTCCTTCATCGCACCCTTCTCAGCCCCCAAGACCAAGAGGCTCGCCCGGTTGCGGGCACAGGCGGGGGCATCCTAGAGGCTCGCTCGGAGCGAGCAGTGAGATGGAGCTGCTGGGGCTCAGAGGAGCAGCAGACTCGGGGAGCTCGGAGCACCCCCTGCATCGGCTCTTCGCACCTCCAGACACCTGGGCCGTTGCCTCCATGCGGGGTTACATGCCCAAACGATGCCTGCTGGGTTCCCCATCCCCGTGGGCACATCCTGCCCCAACGATGCAGCCAAGGCCTTTGCACCGCGCGGCGCTGCCGCCTCCTTTTAACGGATAGAAATCAACTGGGCAGCGTAGGCGGCCCCGCTCCCACGGGCATCTGTTCCCGGCTGGGAGAGCGCGCTCTTGTCCTGGCAGGAGCCTGCCGTTGTTTCGAGGCTCGGGGCTTTCCCCAGGGCTGCTTTTCTCCCCGCCACTGCCAGACACGGGCAATCATGCTGCGGCCCCTCCTGGGTTCCTGCCCTGTGCTGGGGAGGGGGGTTTCTGGGAGGAGGGCAAGGGGCAGCCCCAGAGCCAGTGGGGCTGGGAGCAGATGGCAAAGGGTGATGTGGAGCAAGGGAGACATCATCACACCCACCCCCTGGGCAGGAACAAATCCTTGCCCAGGGCTGCACTGGCGGGTCCAGACCTACCGGCCACGTCCCCTCACCCTCCGAGGGAGAGGGGAGCAGGGGCCAGTGGTTAGAGCAGGACCCTGGGAGCCAGAAGCAGCCAAGCTCCTCCTTGGCTTTCCAGGAAGACGCCGGCCAGATGCCAGCCTCTGCGATGGCTGAGGAGTAGCCGTCAGGCAGAGGGATGGGGACCCACGGAGGGACGGCTCAGATGGCCTCGACTGCCCAGGGAGGCTCCGGCCTGAGCAAATCATCCGTGTGGTGAAAGCAGGAGGATCTCAGCTCCAGCCCCCGGGCAGGACTCCAGCTGGCCCAGACCGGGGCCTCTCCTGCCCTCAGACGCTCCCGGCTCTTGAACGCAGCATCCTGCGGGCTCTGGCTCCAGCTCCGAGGCATCAACCTGGCCCCTGTTCCCTCCAGGAGCTGAGGGCCTCACAATCCTTCAGCTCCTTTAGCAGTGGGGCGAGGCAGAGTCAGCCTCCCCACTGGAGAACTGAGCCCTGGGGAGATTAAGTGACTCGACCAAGGTTACAAGGGACATCCGTGGCAGAGGACAGCACAGCCCAGGCTGCCCCCAGCCCACACCCACGAGACCCTCCGATGCAGCTGTGCCTCACTACAGGAGAGGAGCAGGCTCTGGACAAGTCCTGGCTGGGGACAGACACGCTCACATCCATACTCTGAGGACACAGGGGCTGAGGGGGGGTGGGGGGGCTGAACAAGCATGTGCATGTGCGTGACACCCCCTGTTCGCACCCTTGTATTGCAGCCAGCAATGGGATGGGGGGTTTGTGCCGCACTTCTCCCTGAACCAGGTACCAGGCCCCAGCCAGTCTCCATCCGCCCTGTGGGGCACGTACAGCCCCTCGCGCGGGGAGAGCTCGGCCCACCACAGAGGCCCTCAAGTGAAGCTGACGGCTGCTGCTATTCACCCCTCATTAAAGCAATGCCAAAGGAAGGCTCCAGCGCCCCGGAGCGGCTTCTCGCACTGCCCAGCTGGGTGCCCCCATCTCACCCTGGGGAGCCAGCATGTCCCCCCCAGTGGAAGGAAAGCAGCTGCTGCTGCAAGCTCTTGCCGGGGGCTTTGCCCAGAAGAGCCCTGCATGAACGGTGAGTGGCAGGTGGTGCTGGGACTGGATTAGACCCCAGCCATCACCCAACCCAGCCCCAGAGCCTCCCGCACTCAGCTAGGAGAAGGGAGCAGGGTTAATGGAGGGGCAGTGAGAGGGGTCGCAGCCAGGGACAAGGAGGGCCGTGCACATGTATGACGATGCAGGCACTTACCCCTGCAGGGGATGATGCCCGGGTCCAGTGGAGCACTGCCCACACCAGGGGACATGCAGGCTGTGCCCATCAGCCAGGCACGCAGCCGTGCGGGCAGGACCGATGAGGGCAAGACACATCATGGGAGTGTCTGGGGGTGGGGGGGAAAGGACACGAACCAGGGGGCCTAATGGGGTGGGGAGGAGGAGGGGAGCTCTCACCAGTCCTCCAGCATCCCAGAATGCATTCCTCCAAGGCCAGGCGGGTGGGTGCCTGGCTCGTGGGAGGCCTGGCTCAGCCAGCCAGACAGGCGTGGGCTGCCATCGCACAGAGCAGCAGCAGCTGCAGCTGCCTGGGTCTCTCTTCCCCCTGCGGCCAGGATGCTTTTGGCCCCGGCTCGTCCAGTTTCTTCCCTTTCAAACCCTGCAGCCTTCCAGGGTCCTCAAAATGTCACTCGGGAGGACGTGGGGGGCACAAATGGCACCCAGGTGGGGCAGGGCTGCTGGCTCAGGTGGCTGGGCCAAGACAGGGAGAAGAGTTTGTGGGAGGGGAGAGCGAGTGCTTCCCCCGTTCAATCCCAGCTCTGCCACCAACTCCCCGGGGGACCTGGGATGATTCAAGTCACCTGCTGCAAAGCAGGCACGGTCCCTCTCCACGCGAGGCTGCAAACAGGGGGCCTGGCTATGATTATGTGCAGCACCTGGCGCAGCGGGGTCCCGATTTCCCCTCCAAGACTGACAGTGATCCTCTAGGTCTCGAGGTGGGGCTGGGGAGACCCCTCTAACCCATCCACACCATGCAGTGCCTGCTAAACCCTGACCCACTCCCACCCAGACAGCCCCCATGGGGTGGGGTATGGCCTCCCCCACATGCCCCGGATCTGGACTTGTCAGTAGAGCTGATTACAGGGCTAATCCGCCCAGGCTGGGATGGGTTGCAGTAATCCCCAGGCTTGGTGCTAAGCCCCTGTTTAGAAGTCAAAAGGCCAGAGACCGGGGGGCAGCAGGGCCGGTGTCGCAGAGGGGGGCTGGACAGGGGGGTCCCAGCCAGACCCAGGTGCCTCCAGACCCCGAAATGAAGAGGAAGTGAGCGCCGGGTCCCCCAATGCCTTCGTCCTGCCAGTGGCTCCAAGACCGACGGTGATCCTCTAGGTCTCAAGGCACGGACGGGCAGAGCGACTCCAAGGACTCGGCGCAGCAGCTGGCATCTCCCCACTCTGCCCAGATCTACGCGCTGCCCCCACCTCTCCTCCCAAACCAGCCAGATCCCTTTGCTGGAAGTGCCTAATTCAGCTGCAGGATTGAAAACAGACTTAAGTGGGCGTGCCTGTGTGCCGCGCGCACGCACACATCCCTTCCCCCCATCAAGGAGAGCCCCCCAGCCAGCGGGGCACCCGCCTGCAGACGCGGCTGGACAGACAGGCACGTGCCGATGGAGCGGAAGCTCCCGGTTGCCCCCTCCCTGTGCTGCCAGAGACAGGACCCCTACCTCTGGGAGCCACGGGCATTTGGGAGAGGGGCTCAGGGCACGGCACGCAGCCTGCCCGCCCACTGCCAAGCCCGGGCACCTCCGGGGCAGAGCCGGGCGCGGGACCCAGCTGAGTTTGTGCAGAGCAAAGGCTTTTCCTTGAGGCCCAGCAAACTCATCTCAGCGCTGGGCCGACGAGGCAGGAGCTGGGGCCAGGGGAGGGAGCCGAGCCAGCCCTGCTGGGCCCGGGGAGGTGCCCGCATCCCCTGCCCCCTTTGCCCCAGCCCCAAAGCAGAGCAGGACAAGGGGGCAGGGAACCAGACGGAAACGAGGGCCCAGACTCTCGGTTCGTGCTCGCTCTCGCCAAAGCAGGCAGCTTGCAGCTGGGTGACCTTCATCTCCCAGCCCCTGGCTCTGGCCGCCCCACGGTCTTGCCTAGGGAGTCCCCGTGGAGGTGGGGGCGGAGGGTCCAACTGCCCCCGGTGACCTCCAGCGCTGTCGTCGCAGTGCAGATCCTCGCAGCCAGGCGATCACTCAGTGCCAGGCTCCAAGCTCATCTCACTGCAAGGGCGGGGAGGGCACCTGCCCAGGGACAGGAGGGGGGTGCGGGGGGGAGAGCACGTCCCAGCTGGGTGCTGGGACTGCTCTGGGGACAGAGGGAGCCCCCATCACATGCACGCAGAGCTGCAAACGGTGCAAAACTGCATCCATCAGAGCTGTCGGGCCGCACGGACCCAGGTGCAAGGGCATTCCCCAGCTGATCGTGCAGCATCCGTGTCCCCCTCCACACCCCCTGCCTCTCCTAGCTGCCTCAGCCCCGGGACCATGCCCCCTGCTCCTACTCCCTCCGTGAATTCAAGCCCAGAAGTGACCCACGGCGCCTCCTCTCCTCCAGGAGAGGCCGTGGCATCTGGGCAAGTTCACACGGGGCTGATCCTGGGGGAGGTGGCCTGTCCAGCCCAGGGAAGAAACTCCCCCCACGCTTCCCCCGCCATGACCCACGTCTTCCCGACAGGGAAAACAAGCTACAGGGAAGGAAGGCACCAAGAGAGAGGGAGTGCTCCTGGCTGGCGTGAACACATGCGAGTGCACGCACAAGCAGCCGGCCCCACCCCCTCCAATGCACGCTGATCGCTAAGCACCCAAGTGTGCACACGTGCATGATGCCCCGAAGGCACGTGCTCCTCCGCTTGCATGCAAAGGGGTCACGAGGCACCTGCATGCGCCCAGTGGATACTGGTCGTTCTCTTTCTCTCTGGCCCCAGACTGGTGCCTTGTTGGGGGAGGCTGCTGATGCCTGGGGGAAAGGGGGCTACCTCTCACTGCTCTCACCTGACCAAGCCACGAGCTGCCGCAGCCAGAGGAGCAAGCCCAAACCCCCGTCGGTGGCTGGAAGGAGATGGAGCTGCAGACAACACCCCCCAGAAAGGACCCGGAGCCCTTGCTGCAGCAGTTTGACCCAGTAACCGCGGCCCAGCCCCAGGGAGCTGCCTCATCAGCCCCACTCTACTTCCAGCAGACTCAGAACTGCTGATTCCCGCGTGCTGCCTGCGTGCAAGGACACGTGCCTCAGTTTCCCCGTCTGTGGGGGATGCCAGCTACCTCCCGAGGAGGCTTTGTTCGCACCCGAACCGCAGCGACGCAACAGCATCCCGAGAGGCCGCAGGCCTGGAGGCGTCGGGGCCCCAGCCCCAGCCCTTACCTCTTCCCACTGGTGGATGTAGCGGATGAGGCGGGAGAGGCGAAGCAGCCGCAGGAGGCTGAGGATCTTGGTGAAGCGGACGATGCGGAGGGCGCGGGCCGTCTTGTAGACCTCCGAGTCGATGCCCTTCTCCACGATGAGGAAGATGTAATCCACGGGGATGGAGGAGACAAAGTCCACCACGAACCAGGTCTTGAGGTACTTCTTCTTGATGCGCTCGGGGTCCAGGATGATCTCCGTGTTGTCCTCGATGACGATGCCCGTCCGGAAGTTCAGCACCAGGTCCATGAGGAAGAAGGTGTCCGACACCACGTTGAAGACGATCCAGGGTGCCGTGGTCTCCTCCTTGAAGAAGGTGATGCCCACGGGGATGATGATCAGGTTGCCCACCATGAACAGCAGCATGGTGAAATCCCAGTAAAACCTGGGAAGCAGAAGGACACGTCACGCCAGGGTCACCCCAGCCCGATGCACCCCGACTCTCCTTCCTCCCGCCAACCCCCCACCACAGCTTGGCCAGTGGGGGCTGGTTGTCCCCAGGATTGGGCCCCAGGGTGTCAGCTTGGGGTCGGGGCTTTTAAACCTCGCCCTGTAAGACTGCATGCCCAGAGGCTCATGCGGGTGGATGAGCCCCGGGCCAAAGGGGTGGAACGAAGCAAGAGGAGACGTGGAGCTGCGCCAATAGACCTGGGAGGCTGGAGCCAGCCTGGCCTGGGGGGCCTGGGCTCACTCAGGGCCGGAGCCTGGCTCAACCCTGTCTGCAGCTCCCTAGAGGGGCTCAAGATCATACCAGGAGGGGCTCCTTACCCCTCAAGACACCCCCTGCCCCCCAGCTCCATGCAGGCCCCTGACCCAGAGCCACACAAGGGCAGAGCCGAGCCCCGGAGGGGGGGACAGGGCAAGCACCGAGCCTGTGGCCCCCCACTCTCCCCCTCTGCCAGGGGCGGCGTGGATGCCGAGCCAGGCAGGGGCCGGCCTTGCCGGGGCCGCCTGCAAGAGGCTGCAGCGGAGCTGATGGCTGATTGTCACGTACGACTGCAGCTCGCACCGGCTGCCTCCGGTCCCCGCGGAGGGGAAGGGGGGGGCGCATGGGGGTCCAGCTTCCTCCGCAGCCCCCCTCCTCTATGTCCACCCCCCAGGCCAGCCATGGCCTCTCCCAAGCATGTTGCAAGGGGACAGCAAAGTGACTGCGGGCCCCAGCCCAGGTGCCCCACACACACGCGCGAAGAGGTCAGGCCCCCCCACCCCCAGCCCTGCTGCCACCCAGCTGGGTGCTTTGCTGGCCCCCTGTGTTGGGGCACCCCAAGATGCCCCCCAGCTACGTCACTGTTGCCCGCGGGGGCCTGGGCCAGGTCTCTATGCAGCTGCCGAAGGCTGGAAGCAAGGGGGGGGATTCACTGCGCTGGGGAAACACGGGCCCCTCGGAGCCGGCAGGGCCGTGCCCCCGGGGAATGGGAGCAACAGGGAGTTTGGGGGCAAAGGGGCACCCGGGCAAGCCCCTGCTGCAGGAGCAGAGCGGCGGGGGGGGCGGCGGGGGGGGGCAGCAATGGGGGGGGGGT